AGACGCGAGGAAGCCTTGGAACCGGATGGTCTGTTCTGAGTCCATAGGATTCAGGACCCTTGGTGGGCTTCATAAGCATCTCATCGGTCCTGGTCAGGGCGGAAGAGAGGCTTTTCGAGCTACGGCAAACCTGCTTATTGAAGGATCAAATAAAATATTGACATGTTTCCACTACCGATGTGTCATAGGGAATTACTGCTGTTCCTTCTTTTATCACCAGCAGTAAGTTCACACGGACAGGCTCTGTGTTTCCACGGAGCCCTCACAGTTGCTAGGTATCTTAAAATACGGACAGTTTCAACAGGAACATCTTTCCTGTAGCATGCTAATAATAACATTTACTCGTGTAAGGATTGGGATCAAGAACCCTTTGAAATTTAAGACAGGGTGAAAATTGCTGCAAAGAATCTTTTTAATTGAGATCAAAACATTTTTGACAGCTCTTGGATTTTGAAATTCTAGCTATTGTCATGTTCTGCAGATGTTTCTTTCCCTGAAAAAAACACCCCCAAAAAAGGGCAGTCATATTTGAGGGGGAAAAACCTTACACTGATCCTCGTCCAGTGGACTCTGACTCCCAGAGGCCTCACAGGACAGCATCCCATTGCCCAAGGCTGAACTATTGAAGCAGGAACAGACTGCCGCCTCAGCCTCCCAAGGAGAGCGGCTGGCCTTAGAGCCAGCAGGAAAACCTCAGACAGGATACACAAGACTTGTCATTGCAAGTGACAAAGAGGTAGTTTTTCATTCCTTTGATGGGCGGGGCAAGAGACCACTGAGACCCCTGCTTCATGCACTCGGCCCCTGCTGGGTGAAAACAAAGGTGTGGTGGATGGTTCTGCTTATGGTCTCCAATGAGGGTTTTCAGATAGAGCACACCCAGGGCCTAAGCTTCCGGGGGAAACATGGAATGGCTCACTCCCTCCTCCCCAGGACCTGGTTGTTGCTCAAATGTGTCTCTGGCAATGGTGCATTCATCCACCTCTGGCGGACAGAAAAGTCTTATTTATGAACCCAAACTGCCTCCTTACAACTTCAAACACCTGATCCCGATTTCGTTTCTTGACAACACACACAAGTGCTCTCCCTCTTCTACCGACCCCTTTGGAGATGTGCGGACGATGAATACAGGGTGCCGAGCTGCACGTGTGTTTCTCTGCTTCTGGCTGAAACATGCACCTAGCTCCCGACGGGTCTCCTGAGGGCTTGTGTGAAGCATAGTAACCAGATAGGGGTACCGAGGCCTGATACGACAGGGGCCTCATGCTAATCAGTCAGAACTGGCCTGCACGGAGCCCGACAGAAAACATCGAACTCTGCTGCCTCCTTCCCGATTCTCCTCGAGGGATCTGACATTTCCTCCACGGCCAAATGGCCTTGTGCTGAAATCACGGTTTTACTGCTCTTGTGACCAGCCAGAGCACCACAAATAGCTCTACGTTTGGTGGTCTCTCCCATGCAGGCCAGGTTAGCCACCTTTGAGTGAGGCTTTAGATACAAGAATGTAGACTCATTAGTTAAAATCGACATTATGTGGAACTTACATGTCTAGGTGCAGCCTCCTTGATGGCGGGACATTCATGGACCAGCAAAGGCCAAAACCTGGTCCCTAGACAAAGCAGAGCATCTAAGCCTGTCTCTAAGGTCATGCTGGTTGCTATGGTGATGGGCAGGCAGGGGACTGGGAAAAGACCACAGATGACATCCTAATTGTGCGGCTTGTAGAAACGTTGCAGCAGGATCTCTTGGAGTTGCGTTTCATCCACGTGACTTAACTCCGTAACGAAAGCGATCATTGGGTGCCCATGAGTCGGTTCCACTGCTCTTGCACGGTCAGATATAAACCCTACCGGGCCCCGGGCCATTCACACGCTTGCATGCAGATCTGGCCATCAGATCCACAGGACTTTCTGTGGCTGACCGTTACACGTGTGAGAGGGCTTTGGAAAGTTTGTGGGAAAATGGAATGAAAAGACAATTAAAAGGTAATTCCATTTTTCCACAGACTTTCTGATGCCCCCTCATAGATCACCGGGCCTTTCTTCACAGTCTGTCTTTGTCTGGAAGCTGCTGAAAACTGTTCGGCGTCACAGCCACTGTGCCCACGTGCAAGGGTGGTAGGGCATCAGTGTTGTCTTCCAAGTTTCCAGAAGCCAAAGGGCTCTGCCTCCTGTGTGAGACCCATGATCCCATCAGGCCGGGTGTAGTGTCAACAGGTCTTGGCCTAGCACCATTTCAACCCCCCGGGAGCCCTTCTTGCACTCATTTAGATATGCTTCATATTTCCTACATCCTTCTAAAAATGTTGGATTTGAAATTGAGCCCAAGTCGCCAAGTTATAGTCTGCCTACGAAAAACAAAAACTTCTGTTGTCTCAGAAACTCTATTTTTATTAAGGCAGGAGAGGGACTTAAAACTTGCTGAATTCAAACATTTCCTCCCACTGAATACCTAGCATCTTCAGGCTAGGGTGCCTTTTACCCAGGCATTCTCTCTAGGCCCACCTCTCTCTATAATGCAGTGGGAATTTGCATTGGCTTCTGATGCATGACAATTCCAAGCTGAATCCTGCTTCCCACCCGCTGGGTCAAGTTCACTGAAAAACTCAATGTCATTGACTCTATTCCCCCTCTTTGTGATTCTATAGGTCAGGCTAGAAGTGCCCCTGTGGGTTTCTGAGACTGAAAGCCTCCTCTTTCTCCCACAGATCGCCTGTGATTTTTACTGCCAATCTTGTGGTTAGCAGCCCAATGCAGAGCTGCTATGCCACCAGGGATCCCTGGGTAACCCGAGGGAAGTTATTTACCCTGCGAGGAAACAGGCATAATAGTTACGAGAAGGAACTCATGAGTCAGACTGTCTTCACCATCATGTATTTCAGCCATTCACCTAACTGTTCTGTCATCAGTGTTTCAATTGTAAAATGGGGATGATAATAATAATGCCATCTCAAGGTTCCTGGGTAGAGCAAATGATTCATGCCGAATGATTAGACAAAAGGTTGCTCGTTTGAACCTGGGCTTTGAAGGGTTCAAACAGTTCAGTCATGGCCAATGTACGGTTACACAGCAACCAAATCTCTTGCAACTTGGATTCTGATCCGAGGAGGAAACAGGCAGCCCAAAGATGGCAGCTGACTACGCAGTAACAGATATTCACAGCACAATAGACATTTGCCATCCTGGAGGTGGGCATGGTTGTCTGTAAGCGGCTGAGTTCAAATTCCGACTCACGAGAAATTTGGTTGCTATGCAACGGTATACTGCCCTTGTGTCTGTCTGTCACGTGTGTGCTGTGTCTTAGCTATGACTTGACCCTGCCCTGTGGCCCACAAAGGAAGGGTGGGTGATCTTCATAAGAAAGCACTTCTCAACAGCTTTCCTTGGGATTGACAGTGGCTGCAACAATGGGCTCAGGTAGAGGAACATCTGTGAGGATAGCGCAGGACCAACCAGGCAGTGGTACCTTCTGTTATGCACAGGGCCGCTATGGGTTGCAACCAACTCAATGGCACCTAAACACATGTGATCGCCATACGTCAGAATGTGATCTGCAACACGTTATCGCCATACGTCAGAAAGTGATCTGCAACACATGTGATCGCCATACGTCAGAATGTGATCTGCAACACGTGTGATCGTCATACGTCAGAATGTGATCTGCAACACATGTGATCCCCATATGTCAGAATGTGATCTGCAACACATGTGATCGCCATATGTCAGAATGTGATCTGCAATGCATGTGATCCTCATACATCAGAATGTGATCTGAAATGCATGTGATTGCCATACATCAGAATGTGATCTGAAACACATGTGATCGATCGCCTTATGTCGGAACTGACTTGACAGCCACAGGTTAGGGTTGCTATGAGGATTAAATGAGGTGAGATTGGCTTAGAGCAACGCTAGATATGTAATAATACATCCTTGATGAGTAGTTATTATCATTATCGTCTCATGGCACTATTGTGAACAAGAAACTGAAAGATGTGTTTATTCAACATGCACCTAGTATACAGCCGCTACTCAAACACATGGGAATGGCTATGATTAGTTATTTAATATTCTTTAACCTTTATGATTTAGTTAGTTTCCAAGAAAACCGATTTGATGTTGAAATGACTCCACTGCCTTTGAAGTGTTCTAAGAATACTAGTCAGGACAAAGACCAGCAAATTAGAATTCAGAATGAGCATGGCTTAGGAGTTTGCCTGGTGGCTTGTTTATGAAGTGCTTGATACATTACTTTTGTGAAGAAGTTCAAAGGCGGTGTTTTCTAAACTACAAAGCACTGGATGACCAAGAGGGAGAGCCCATCCATTTGATTCGAGTTCTCTCTGCAAAATGTATCATAGCACGCGCACCTCCGCGTTCCCCTCCCTGCCACTGAAGAGGACAGGGTGTCAGGTGCGCTCCCAGGGAGGAGACTGGGAGTTAACTGCAGTCGGCAGGTAATGAGACCACAAGCCACGTCTTTGGTGGGTTCAACACAGGGATCAGCCCTCTCATTTCCTGGTAATGCCGAGATGGATTTTTTTCTCTCTCTCTTAGCTAGAGAAGTCTATCCTTTTTGATTACAGCAATTGCAGGTGCCACAGGTTAAACTCCAGAGAGGCTGGATACTTTGAGTCAAAAGACCGACAATGTGTTTCCCTCTAGGGCAGATGTCATTGAAGTCATGGGCACACAAAGAAATTTAACGTAAGCTGTCACATTACCCACAGCTCTTCAAAGCTCATCAACCTCCCATTAGACTGGCAAGATGGCGGGGCATTTTCACCACAATTACTCTGGAAGAAGCACGATGCCTTAACACCGCGGCCAAGTCGGGGGAGAGCGAGCCTCCCTTTGATGGACGATCACAGCTGATCACGTTTGTCAGTGGCTTTATATGTTTTTATGCTTGTTTGATATTCCTGCCCAGAGAGCAGAGGCTTGTAAGGGCACATCTGTCAATGATTCAATTTCACAAGGCCATATGAGTCTTTTACTTACCCCCGTCTTCTCATCAAAGATTTTGATTCCTCCAAAGGAGATGGTTAAAAAGATTTTCTGTTTGTGTTCCCCTTTGGAACGAGCACCAGCAACAACGCCCTGTTGAAAGGAAGGACATGGTTTTCACTTCAGTGTTTTCATTTGAAAATTCCCTCTGGTCCCAAAGGCACGTCGGATACCATCAACTGATGGCACCAATCAAGTGCCCTCCCTTCCCTCACCTCGTCCCACTTTCTTTACACAATACGCTCACGTCCCAGCCCTTCAGAACAATGCCGTCCGAGCTACACTAGCCCTGCATTAAACAGCCATCGGAGCCCTCACTCGCTTGTTACATGAACCGAGATCTATGAATGCCTACGTTCTGCCAGGTAGTTAGTTCAGACATGGGTATCGAAACAGAAATACAATAGGCTTCTCATATTAGTATCTGGGCTGGATTTTATTGGGGGCGGTTTTAATTATTTAAGTACAACTAAGTCATATATTCATTATCGAATGGGGTTTTACTTTTAAATCTCTGGATAAGGTTTTGATGTGGATTGATTTTCGTGATTAGCGAGAAAACCACCACCACCGAAGGAAACACTGTGGATCAGCTTTCCCAATTTTGCTTGGGAAAAATGTGATCATTCTAACCGATGTATTTTTACACAAACAACACGCGCGCTGTTTGTTTACCAACCTGTCCTCTCTCACCTCTTCGAAACCGCATAGTGCTAACATTTTAAACTGTGTTTCTATAACTATATAAGCACGGTGGCTTGCAAAAAATACTTGGGAGGTGGGAGTGGGAGTGTGGAGTTGGGACACAGGCGGAGTCTGTTATCTGTGAACTTCCCTCCCTCGTGTGGTCACTGAGTGGTGACATCAGACTTTGAACGGAGAATCCCTTGACTTCCAAATCTGTGCTTTTGACTGAATTTGGAGTAAAGCCATTTATAATGTTGACACCCCTCTACCTAGTCTTCCTCAGGAATCTGGAAGCCACAAGGGGGGAATGAGAAGCAGTCACCTGAGGAACGTCAGAATTGGAAAGGCAATGTCAGGAGGGGGTCTCTCCTCCTTGTTTCTTCCTAGAAGGGGCCATCACAGGGCAGGAGGGGCGTGGCCAGCGCGACACTTAATTTTAAGTGTCAACTCGGCTACGCTATTATGCCTGGTCATGAGGCACAACACTAACTTACTTATTGTTGGAAAGCAACTGCACGGAATAAACTCAGCCAACCTCAAGTAGCGCAGATTACCTTCCATAATTCCCGTGGTGCTCAGTCATTCGGTTGAAGAATTTAAGAGGAAAAAGAGTTTTCCCCTAGGATGTACTCTGTCTCTGAATTATACATAGGCTTCCACCCTTAGAACTCTCTTACCCTTCCCTCTTATCATCTGGCCTATGGATTTGGGGACTCAAGCCTGTAGGAGTCTCCAGTTTATTACTTGACCCGCGGTTTTGGGACTTGCCAACCCGTTCCTCAGTTACGTGGGCCAATTCCTTGAAGTAAATCTCAATTTCTCTTTCATATGTTTGTGTGTGTGTATAACACATGGATCAACATGATACACATATGTAGATGATACATATTTATATATATGAATATTTTCAATACAGGGCTGGAAGATGACTCTCCCAGGGTGGAAGGCACACAAAACAGGTTCCGGGCTTTGAAGGGAACATAGTCCTGGGCAGTGTTTTGCTACGCTGTACACAGGATTAAGGGCAATCGGAACCAATTTGGCAGCAATTAACAACGAACCTATAAACTACTAGTTGTTTTGCCCTCTAGGGAATGCTGACTATGACAGTCAGCGAGAGTGAATGTCAATGTCCCCATCTCCAGTATGGTCCTAAGGGCTCCTACCTGAGAACAGTGCTGGATCATGAAAGAACAGAGGTGCGTGGCACAAAGTCATACCGACTTATTCAGACTCCCCCCACCCCCCACCATTCATGCTCCCTGGGAGGAACCCTAGTGGCACAGTGGTTAAAGCACTCTGCTGCTGTTAACCAAAAGATCAGTGGCAGAATCTACCAGCCTCTTCATGGGAGAAAGATGGAGCAGCCTGGTTCTATACAGGTTTTCAGCCGTGGAAATCACATAGGACAGTTCTGTTCTGTCCTGTAGGGTATTGACAGTGGTAGCGGGTTCAGTTTGCTTTCTCGTTCAAGTTATCAGAGAAAGCCATGACATAACAGGATCTGTTTGTGTTTGTTTTTTTTTAAAAATGGAAAGATCAAGTTAGCCTCCTATTCCAGGTACATTTTTGCTTGGGGCTGCCGGTGGCAGCTTTGTATGACAAATGAAAGAAAGAAGGGCTATTCACACAGGGCTGCCTTTGGGAAAATAAAAGTCCAATCGTATCACGCATGCTTCTTCTTTGAGCTGGGGCCCATGGTCCCGCTCTGGAAAACTGCTCCATGCCCAGCAGCCCTGACACGCACTCGGATGATTCACCACCCTTACGCCGGCGGAGAAGAAAGCACTGGTCTGGCATCAGAGCCTGTAGATGTCGGAGCTGCGTGGGCCTCAGTCTAATGCCGGTCCATCGACCTGGCAAGTTGCCCCCGTTCCTGTGTGGTCAGGGGAGGCAGACATTTTCTTGGGTATCTCATACCACAGTCCAGGGTTAGTCACCTCCTACATTCTCAAGAAGCAAAGGCAAATAATGCATTATTTTAATAATATGAAATAGCTTCAGAAGAAAAACAGAGATATTAGAGTGGGACAGTGACTACCAGGGTGGGGGGGGCAGGGCAAGGGGCAAATCATTATTTAGATCACGAACATCCCACTGCCATTGAGGTGTTCTGCAGTCATAGCAACGCTATGGGACAAGCTAGATCTGCCTCTTTGGCTTTCACAGACTGTGTCTATTTAGAGGAGGCAAAGACAGGCTAGTCTTTGTCCCAAGGGCTCAAACGGCTGACCTCTGTGGGCAGCAGCTCAGTGGGTAGGTAGCCTGCTCTTAGGCAGCATGGACTTTTTACTCAGGAGGGAGAAATGTTGGCAATGGAAATTGATGATGACGATATGACATGATTGATGTAATTGGTTTTACTCATTTGGACCCTGGGAAAATGTTGAACCGGCGCATATTGTATTCTTCATATTTATCCAAAAATTAGAAACAATCCCAATGAGAGTCACAGCGCTGAAATGCAAACAGTGTCCTTTCTCAGAACGGAGGTACATCTACTCTAAGCTTCGCTAACAGTCTCTCTGAGAAGCAGAGAAGAAAGCATTGACCACAGAGTGATGGGTGCCACAGATATATCATAAAGGTCCTGAAAGTGGTTGGGTGGAACTACCAGCCTGCAGACTCAGCAGAGGAAATAGTCTCTGAGAAGAATAATCACTGACTCACGCCCTCCTATGAGAGCGTGAGCACATTCAATGGGGTCCCGAGATGGTAAATGACTGAAACGCTGGCAGTGAGGGGCCCGACTGGTACCTTGGAAGAAATGTCACAGCCTTGACTTTGGCGGGTAGCCCTGCTCCACACACAGCATGAGTCAGAACTGCCAAGGATGCAACCCGGGTGTGTGTGCACACGGGGGACGGTGTGTGTGTGTGTGTGTGTGTGTGTGTGTGTGTGTGTCCTACTTTGTACCCAGAGACTGATCTCTGTAGAATGCATCTCCTAGTCTCCAGGGTCTCCTCGCCGTCTAGCCCCCAGTTGGTTCCACCTATGTGAAGCACAGCCCAGAGATGAGAGGCTTGTGAAGAAAGAGAGTTACATAATTCCTTTCAAGCGCCTTCCTACCTTCAATGCTTTGAGTAGTAGCTATGTTGCCCCCAATTACATTTGGCTGCGTGGGGGGAGGGGGGGACTTCTTCCAAAGCTCTCATTAGTCTCTAATATTTAGATGTCTTTCCTAGAGGGGGTGACAATTTACCCCTGGGGAGTGTCTCTGGGTGGCACACTCTTTCTTGTTTGCTCCCTTAGTCTTGTCTCCCACTTGTAAGTAGCTCTTTGGTTAAAGGGCCTTGACCTGAACACTCCAAGGCAGATTTGTTTTCCCTGTGGGAACTGATGTCCTCAGGGTTCTTAACTAAGCCTCAGGCAGTGCCTCTGGGAGATCTCATCTTCCCCACAGCTTCGGTGGCCACCCTCATGCCAAGTATGCCAAATAAATCGATTTCTTTAGGTGTCAATGTGTGGCTACTGGACAGGAACTCATGGGTAGGAGCTTCATATCTCATGGGGGCACCAAGATGAGTTAAAGGCAGATATAAAATATGAAGGTCAAATGGTATCGTTACAAATCACTGTTGATGGGAGCCATTGGGACAGTTCCGACTCATGGCGACCTTATGTACAACAGAGAGAAATATTGCCTTGTCCTGTGCCATCCTCAAGATGTGAATCTACTGTTTCTCAACATGTCCTCCATCTCATTGTATCTCCCATTCAACTCGATACACTTCTGAAAGCTGGGTTTCCAGCTCTCTCTCTCCCCCTTCCCTACAGAATTCTATTCTCTCTGATTGCTGACATGTCGAAAGGCAAGTTCTGGCATCCTTCAGAGATTCATATTGTATTTCTTTGAAATGTTCTTCAGGTGGAACAAAAAGTCTTCAGGTTCAAGATTAGACTTAGGGGTGGATGGGCCAAATTTCCCAAGAAAATTCTCATAGAATGGTTCTTGCTACCCTCTATGGATAAGCTGGTACAATGTCATGGTGGGGAAAAATTTTTACTTGATGCAACTTTTCTTGCTTTTTAATAATAATGTAGTTTTCAATTTTCATAAAACATATTCCTGATAAGCCCCCAGGATCTTCCTGTGTGCTTTGGAGTGCCCCCCAAACAGTCTGAACTGACCTCTGCTTTGAATTTAACTGGCTCAGCAGATTCCCTGAGAGGTCAATACAGGATTGGGTTTTGTTCTCTGGATCATATTGGTACATGAAAGACTCATCTCTGGTTTCACCTGGTTGCATGGAATCATCTTCATTAGCTTAGATATTGCTTAAAAATCCGATGGAAAGTTCAACAATCTGAGCTAGCTGATCTTCCATGCACCATTTTTGGCATTTGAACCAAAAGTCTATATATGAACTTCTATGAACACACTTCTCTTACAAATCTATGTATGG